ACGATTGAATGAAGGTAGAGAACGCCCACGAGTTATTCATCTCAATAATGGATATCTCGTCTTTATATCGAATACAACACTGTTAACTGGTATTCAAAACAACGTACTACCCTAACCACGTGGTTATAACAACCAATAAAACTTCATCATACCATGTCTTGCGCTCAAAGACTGAACGTCATCGGTCTTGCGCCGTTACTGCATACTGGTTCGGCGATGCTACTGCCAATAAATATTCCTGAACACGGATTGCACGTTAGAGGCAAGCGGCAACAAATTGTCAAGTCACAGCTCTCTAACAGTCGTACGATTTCCTGCAATGCATCGTTAATACGACTCTTCAAGCAGCTGCACGTGCTAAGGGGGAAGTTGACGCGCACCCTCCTCTAATCCCAGGATCTGATAGACGGTCACGAAGTGTATCCCCATCTGTGGACGCATGCCCTTACAGAGAAAACTTCATACGCGCGTTGTTATTTCTTTTTCACGTCCTCGCAAGCTGAACCGCAAACACTTCGCAGCGAGCCGAGAGGCACGTAGAAAGGAAACCGAAGAATCGAGACAGCCGTGTGCAGCCGGAAGCAAATAATGTGAATAACCTCGAAAAACCATGCGGAATAAGAAGCAAGTATATTGACGCTGCCTGTTCAAGTTACTTTTTTTTCCCCTTTCGGGCACCGCCCTGCACACAGCCTGGCTTACCGTGCAGTTTCGCAGACTTTAATTAAAAGAGGAAGGAAACGGATATATAGCGTAATGGATGTGAAACCACTCGTATATAGCCAGCCGGGCGCCGCAGTACGCAACGATATGTACTCTGTACTGGCGGTCGTGGTTTTCACTCGCGCACTCCCGTCTGTGCTGCGCCAAGAAGATGAGCGAACGGGAGGAGAAGGGAGCCTCCTCTTGCTCTTCATTCTGTGCGCTAAATTGGCCTCGTGCAAGGACGCGAACCCACGCAGCATAACGACTATAAGGGATGCACGTGGACGCGACTGCATGGCACGGACACCAGGCGCAACCGCCACCGATCCCGAAAACGCAGTTGATGCCAATTCGCTTGCTGCCTCTGAATAGAAATAGCACCACATCGAGAATAGCATGCGGAATACAACATGTGACACACCTAACCAACGCTATCAAGTTATAAATGACGATTCGCGAGCAGCACAAGTCGGATATAGATCTGGGTTCGGCTTCGACTAGGTGCAAGTTGTCTTTCCGCTCGGGACATCACACTTCAATACGAAAACAACAAATAATTTTCCCCAAGCTTTTTTCGGCTTCAATTTTTGTCAGTTTCCCATCGCTGTAACGAACAAAAGGCGTCGGCTTCGTCTGATTTGCTTATGTACTGCTCTCTCCCCCTTTGATTTGATTTCGTCTGCGAGACACAAGAGCCCATCACGTCGACTCATGTGGAAGAAGATAACCGTGGTACGTGCGTACTCGGCAAACGAGAGCGGCCAGCCTAAAGTAAAAATTTAGCGGGACAGATAAGAGCCCTCTATATAAAGTGTTTACCTCCGCTAGATTGCGGCGTCCCAAATGGCTCCATTTGTCAGGGTATCACTTCAGCCACTCGGATATAGAGAAACGCTCGGGACGCAACAGCACGACAGCTGTCATTCAATGAATGTAGGTTGATCGCAACTGAGGCCCCCGATCAACGTTGCCACACTGCGCTTTTCGACAAATGAGGTTCGCGCTGTGAAGACGTCCGAAATTCCGCTCTCGTTTCGCCCCTATAGCACACTGAAAACGTGCTCTTTCTCTCTTTTTGGGTCACGTAACGCGTTGTACCTATGGCAAAGAAGAGCTCATAGTGATCCACTATTGAATATTTGACTCGAAGGGTAAGCCGCATCAGCGTACGCAGTGTTCGCCATGGGGGAGGGCAAAGTTTCAACACAACTTTCCGACGAGCTCGTGATATGTCTTTCGGTCTTATCCGAGCAGTCTATACACAGTGAGCGCCCGAATACACCAGTTGAAGTGAACCATAACGCCTATGATTAATTGTCCGTCTTTATATTATAATGCGCCGTATAATCTATGCTACTCTTTACGGGCTGTAAAATAATTACGATCTAATAGTTGATACTAAACGGCTGCTTGTATATAATATAATTTTCTTGTAAAATGCTAACGAGTTCCCTAAATATAACTGGGTGTCTAATACATTTTCAACTTTTGACTGTCAACGAACTCTTGCGAGCGCTGAAATAGGACGCAAACGGTGCCCAGCTAAATCGCGCAGCGGAGCTATACAGTGGCTCTGTAGCACCGCGGAACGAACAGTGAAATTCGTAGCGCACTTAATGAGCTGCGAGCACTTCAGTGATCAGAGCGAATTACCTGTCCGGCTAGCAAGCTAATGAGCCAACAGGCTTAAGCACGCCCTGCAGAGGACCAAAAAAAATTGTCCTGTTTTTCACCTGCTTCGGTTGCCCAGTTTTTTTTTTCTTCTTCAAACATCGATTCCACGAGAAAGGGGGAGAAAGAAAAACGGCGTGCCAGAAGAGCAGCTTTCCTAAAGCCATCTCCCATCACGTACAGTGATAGGCCTCCGCGTCGTCACAACGTGGGTGACTTGCAAGCACACGAGTGTAGCCTTACACAACAAATTCGTGCAGTCATCGCAAGGTTTAGGTTTAGCTAGAACGCTGTCTACAGCGTACTAGAAAAGCTTTTGCAGCTATAAGTGAGATGGCAATGTCCGCAATGCGGGAGTGCATACGACCGAAAAGAGAAAGACAGAGAGAAAGTAGAAGACACTGCCACTCACTGAACGCGTTTCCGAGACGGTAACTCTAGCGGTCGTGAAGTGATCTACTGCAGCGTCCACCTTCAGTGTGAGAGGTGCTGTGTTCGATTCCCGGTGCTACCGGCCACCGACAGGCATTTATACGTAATCTATGACTTGCAAAAAAAAAAATAGAAAAGAAAAGCGCTCTCCGCGAGGAATCTCTGCTCATGTTGGCGTTGTGTCGGACACCTCGATGCCCAGCCAAATCTAAGGTTCATTCCAAGCGATACCTTCGCAAGTGCCTTTACGGCCAGCAATCTACCAAAAACAAATTTTAAAATATTAATAGATCGTGATATCGTACTTTCACGTAAATTTAAAAAAAAATACAAGGGATCCCTCCCATCTTCAAAATCTCTCTTCTCACTTTCCTTTTCTTCTTCACCTGACACTGACGTACACAAAACTGAAAATAGTAGTTACAACTGGGGCGCAAGTGCAGGGCATGTCAGAACGGGTCAGTGGCTCGTGGCTCTTGCTGTGAAATTCGCGTCACACGTGACTCGCAACTCATTACTTGTCCATTACATGCACTGGCACGTAAAGTAAAAAAAAACAAATCTCAGCCTTACATTTAGTTTTTATTACTGTACGCGGCTATTTCAGTTAACTCTACTACCACATTGCCGGCAATAAATGTCACACACATCGCAGTGACATTTTGCTGCTCTTTTGTGGCTAGCGCACGGTTTTGGCGTTTACGAAACCGCGTACATCAATGGAATAAAATGACTTAATCTAAGCTTTCTTCCCCGCTACACTTCTCTGAACGTGTCCGTGAGTTTTAGCATCCTGCTAAAGTATTGCACGATAACATTATGACACTGTACTGATAACTTTGGCGCAGGTTAACTTGTTTAAGACCGACCCATGGTAATCAATGAGTGGGACGAAAATCTTTAAACGCCGCAACAACGAATTGTCTGCTTATCTGAAGTGCACACGTTTGACTCGAACAAATTAACACGCCACGCCACGATGCCTCATCGCTCATAGTGTACTCTGCTTAATACAGACGCCACCTGGAAGCCTATATATATATATATAAAACATGTGCTTAAGCCCCGCGGCGGAACGTGTATATATGCGTAAATGTACCATGGTACAGTCGAATTTTTTAAACGAATGCAAGACCTTCATTAGTGTTAAGCGCAAACATGCGTTACGAAGCTGCATATACGTCCACAAAATTAATCGAAATAAATCAAGTCTGCCCAAGTGTGACAATCATTAGCGGAGCGCTCTCACTATGAGAACAGGGAAGAAAAAAACAAAGAACGAGAAATAATGTTTATATATGCGAATGCCGCGCGAGTAGACGGGATGGCCCAGCGAACGGCTTTGTGGAGACCGCAAACGCGCATAACAAAAAAACTGACATCCGACGGCGGCCCGACGCGCCAACGATCCCGCCGTCGGGACGCCACCGGACGACCGGCACTGAGGGAGAGAAGGAGATAGAACAAAAGTCGGCACACGAAGAAGGGGACCGCTGAACACGATTCGGAGTTAACGCTGACCCCAATCGGATCAAACTGCTTCGTCTTCATCTCACACTGCAATCACAGCGGTCAAGGGTTTCAGCAATACACCCATAACGAGCGAAAATGAACAGCCAATAAAGAACAAATGCGGCGCAGACCGCCGCGGCGCGCAAGATCATCGGCGGCGCGAAGTCCCGTGATGCCACGCGGGAAAAAGGCTCGAAAATAGCGCCTCACCGGCGGCGGCCCGTTTGAAAACGGCCGGTGGCGCGCGCGCTAGCTTTCCGCAGCATTGCGGAACACGGCACCAGAGCGGGGAGACTTCCCGTTTCCAGGGCAGGTGGGAGACAGCTGCTGAGAACTCCTCGCCGTGCGCCTAATATTGTTAGGCGAACAGCAGGTGAAAACACGGAAGCTCCCAGCTCCAAAAGGGATAAATAGTTCGGCGAAACAAAACATGCCCTACACACCGAACAGCTCCTTCGGCACACGCGACACTACATGTCAGGTGACGGAAAGCGAAGACAAGGCACCCAATGCCGGAAAAAAAAAAAAGTGGAGGAGAAAGAGGCCAGAACTTTCAATCGCCGGCATATATGGTGTTGTCAGTGCTTGCGGTACCGTTAATATAATGTCGCTCCGAACATAAAAATAAAAGAACACATAAACGAGAACTACGCGAAAAAAGCAGGCCCACGCCGACTGACCTGTTGCCAGAAATCCTCCAGCGACGGCTGGGCCGGGAAAAAACCAGTGTCGTGGATCGCTTGGAGCTCATGAAAGATATTTCCACTCGGCAATATGTCCATGGTTGATGTGGGGTTGACTTGGATGTCCCAAGCAAGAGACGAGCACGAAATAACAAAAACAACGAAAACAAAAGGGCAACTTGTCAGTTAGAGCAGCGACCAGGTGCTAGATGAACTTTTTTGATGCCACAACTCTCGCCGACGACGGTAGTGAAATCCTGGACATCCCTGCCAGCCGGCCCAGATGCGGCCACCGCTATAAAGGCATGTTCGTGGCGTGCACCAAACAGCTCAACGCATGCGGAGGCGTCACGGAGATCCAAGGCACTCGTTACGCCAAGCACGCGCACCGCCTGTGGGAACCAGCCGAGTGGGTGGTGGTAGTGGTTACAATGAAGAGGAAAAAGGCACCTAATTTCTGTCTGCCTTCAGGCGACACGGCGCAGTGCCTTATAGGGGTGGGGGGAAGGAGGGATAAAAAGAATAGAAGGAAAGTAGAAGCAGAAGAAGACAGCCAACGAGAGGAAAAAGAAGGAGATAGGAAAGTGGGGATCCGGTCGAAGCAGTCCAAGGGCGGGGTGCCACAATGCGAGAGCTACACGGCATCAGGAGACCGCGGAGGGCGAACCAGTCGGCGGGAGCTACGCTGAAGTCGGAGATCGCGAGGGCACAACCGTCCAGCTTGAAATCCTGCGAGCGAATCCCCGAGTGCAGAGGCGCAGGCGCTCTTTCCATTTGCGAGCAGACGCTCACTCACACTCGCACCGCTGGCGCGTCTAGCTGCGAACCCAGACGACTACGAAGTCGCGCCCGCTGCGCCGAGAGTAGATGCGTGCCTGCCCTCTCACTCTCTGACTGTCGCCTCTGCCGCCAGGCGAGGACCGGGCGCTGCCTCCCACGGGACGGCGAAACGGGAGAAACTTGGGCGCGGGACTCTCGCCTGCCCGCGAGAAACGTGCAAACTCAACAGTGCGAACGTTGGAGGAAAGCGCGCGTATGTTGATCGCATACCTGTAACCTTATCTCGCGCCTCCGCCTTTTCGAGATGCGTCATGCTTCATGTCGGAAAAGTGTTGCGCCGATAGCACACGAGCTCTCGTGGCGCATTTCACGTCTATGAGTGTTCCGAGTAACTGCGCCTTTGTTGTTCCTTGCCCACGAAACAGCTCGGGAATATTCCAACGTCCACGATTTTATCACCTGAAATTTTTTTCGAATAAAATGTACAATCACGCGATCTTCCACGAATGACGGACGTTTTCTTACATAAACATAATGCTGCCACTAGAAAAAGAAAATACTGTTAAACGTTTCACCAAAATCTCTATCTTCGCCTTTGCCCTGGAGTGGGACGGTGTCTTTTTACTTGTAACCAGCCGACATATATGAATACGATGGTGACAAGCCCATCACATTACGTTGCAAAAACCCTTTAATGAATTACTCATGAAGCTTGCTGGTCGTTGTGCAAGAGTACGATACGCCATCACTTTTAACGCTGTTGGAGGATAAATCAAATAGGTTCGGGACGTTAGTTTTGTAGATAGACCAGCATGCGTGTAGCACATGCATACGTGTGTTTCTTTCTGCGAAGACATTTCATACTTTGTGCCTGCTTAAAGCCTAAGTGGTGGCAGCTATATCAAATACAAAGCAATAAAGACTGCTATTTACCGGGCTTCAACAAAGCTGTTTTTGAAAGTCCGCAATGATAGCATCTCTAGGTGAATTGAACACTCAGAGATGAAATTATGGCCCCATATTCTCATGGTGTAATCTCGAAGAAGAGGAAGAAAAAAAAAAGCAACCGGTGTCCGGACGACGAGACAATTATTAACACTGCTATCAGTAATCCATTATCGCTTGCACGATTCATCGGCGTTCTTCTCATACCCAAAGGGACAATAAAGAGCAGAGCATTTTTTTGCATATTAGTTATGAACAATTTGACAATCACGTAAACACCACTCCTATTGCGACACGACGCTTGATAAACTAGAAGACGAGCGAAAAAAAGAAAGAAAAAAATGCGTGGGGAGACGCCACCTTGAGATGCGAATACCAGGATGTCATGAACATCGTCATAAATCTCGAAGGCGTCTACTGCGTTATACATTGCTTTTAATTGATAAAAATCAAGTACATTGTCATCTTCGAGTGCCACAGACCTAGCATACGAAGTTTCAGAAAATTTCATCGCGGCAGTGTCGTTAAAGCGCGAAAAACGCAGTTTTAAATTTCTGACGTCACGCGCGGAGATTTCAGCGAGAAAATAAAAATGAAACTTCAACCTTGATTTTCTCCGGTATTAAAGAAGTGATAATAGTGATATGTACGGCATTACAGTTCTGAGAATATACTTTGTCACTGTAAACCAAATGATTTTCTTTAGCGTCCTCCTATGAAGGCATTCGATCGGAAAAAGGCCGTCCTCCGAATTTCACATTTGGGGAGCGTCCTGTAGATTACTGAGAATATGTAATTTGATATTTGACAGTGAAAGTGAAATTTAAAAACAATCAAGATTTGCTTGCGCACAGAGGTGTCAACAGTGTCTATGTCGGCAGGGAGAGCCCGTAATTTGCCCACAGTCAATTTTCAGACATATATATATATATATATATATATATATATATATATATATATATATATATATATATATATATATATATATATATATATATATATATATATATATATATATATATATATATATATATATATATATTATATATATTCACACATGAGTGTGTTGCAGCATGTAAAGGGAATGGAACTGATGAACAAAAAAAGAAAGAGACAACGTTGTTAGTGCACTACATTTTGGAGATTTACAGTTTTCTGTTCATTCATATTGTATTCAGTGCAAGCATGTTGTACAGCAAAGGTAGACAGGGTATGAAAATGTGATCAAAACGAGGCGCACATACAATATTTATGAAAGGGAGTTTGCAAGAGAGAAATGAGGTCAATAGTGGCAGCTGTAAGGATAGGTTAGAGCCTAATGAATCCGGGTACACTGTGGGCTTTATTCTCTTCTCGAATATGATTTTACCTCCATGGTGGATATTTGTCGGGTATTTGCCTGTTAGATCTGAAACTTCTTTTATCGCGGCCCCGCCGCGGTGGTCTAGTGGCTAAGGTACTCGGCTGCTGACCCGCAGGTCGCGGGTTCAAATCCCGGCAGCGGCGGCTGCATTTCCGATGGAGGCGGAAATGTCGAGGCTCGTGTGCTCAGATTTGGGTGCACGTTAAAGAACCCCAGGTGGTCAAAATTTCCGGAGCCCTCCACTACGGCGTCTCTCATAATCATATGGTGGTTTTGGGACGTTAAACCCCACAAATTAATCAAATCAATTCTTTTATCGCGATATTAATTATGTGGACAGTTCCGGCTAGTTTTTTGCCGTTGCCACCACCACCGTCATTCACGTATATGTATATGCGTGTATATAAATACGGGGAAAGATGCACTAGCTTCGTCTTTCTGTGGAGCGAACATCACCGTTCCGGCCAGGGTTGTCTGCTCACGCGCTTATCTTGTGAGTGAACTAGGCTAGGGGGGGGGGGCTATTAATTGCCGTGCTATCACGGCAATGACCAGTGGGCACCTCGCGCCCCCAATGCGGGCAGGAGCTTCTACGGGCTAAACTTTCAACACGAAAAAAAAAATGGTGCAAAGAGTATACCTGGAGCGGCTGTGTTCTCTTACATCAGCGTTTTGAAGAGTTACGTGAGATCGTATCTGAATGAGTGGACTGCCAGCCTCACTTCGTATAGCATAGCAATTTGTCACTATCACATCTACTGTTTCACCGAAAGGGTGAAGCTGATTTTGTGCAATCATCCCTGCCAAGGACGAAAAAAGCACTTGACAGCATGTGCACGAGTATACATAGCCACCTAGAAAGCTTGTTGAGACACAGCTAGGTATCCAGCGGCTATGCACGTTTTGCAGGTTCTGTACCGTCCGTTATAAGTTACTCGTGTTCATCTGTACCCGTGAATACGTTTCGTGCGTCGTTTGTGCGCGAGAAACGCTGGGCACGTTTTGATCTGCTTGCCATTTCTCGCCTGACCTTCCAATGTGTTGCTATTGCGTTGATAGCTTCACCTTTGCGGCAAAGCTGTGACTTTTTCTCAGTAGTTAAAAAAACAAGCCTCAAGTACCTCGAACAAGATATGGGCTTTACACCATGCAGGCCCAGTAGGTTGCAACAGGAAATAGCTTGATTTGCTGCGTATATATATATATATATATATATATATATATATATATATATATATATATATATATATATATATATATATATATATATATATATATATATATATATATATATATATATATATATATATATATATATTGAACTAATGTTAATTGAAATTAATTTGTCTTAGTTCAATTATTCATAGCAAACTATTTTAATCTCACTGTAATTATCAAGAACAATCATCACTGAACAGTGACCAGACGACCACCATTGCCGAAATTTACAATGATTGCTAAATACTCCCTTTTCGGCATGCTTTTCCCATTATGTGCTTGCAAAATAAACTTTCTTGTAGCAGTTGTATACTTGAACATTGTAAGACTTCTGAAAAAGAATACAAAAAACAAAAGGGGTTCCTAAGCATGGCTCTTACTATATCATGAGATTTATTTATTTATTTATTTGTTTATTTGAAATAATGCATGCCAACCCTTTGAATATACGAACGTGAATATACAAACGATACAAGAGATGAGCACAGGAAACAAAACCTACGATAAAAAATAGTGTGAAAATCACTTTACTTATAGGGCAATCAAACGGAAGGAGCTAAACATACACGCGGTAGGAACAAGGTTAGTAGGAGCTGTGAGAACTAAGAACGGTAGATGTTCAAAACATGACACGGCTAATCAGCGCATATCACAACAAAGCCCTCGGAGCTAAATGTAATATGTGGCAAAAAAATTCTAATCCACGAATATATTAAGAAAGCAACTGCATAAAAATCACTTTGTGCGAGTGAAGATTGGTGTCAGCGAATATTTATGACTGTGCCACGCCGTTCTTGTTCTATGAGAAGCTTAACCGACCATAGGAAAACTAACCTGAAAGGCCATTGCGAGGAAATGAAATGCCTAATGTAGATCGTATGAGCAAATAAACAGCCGAAAAAGGGAAAAATACTTGGGTCGGTCATGTCAAGTTTTTATTTTAAACTCCCTGCTGCTTTTTTCGCTCATAGAATCAGCAATGTGTTGCACCAGTTCACCAAGCCGGCCAAGCATACCATTATTTTGAATGAAAAGGGGTTAACTTTTCTCCAGACTTTTAGCGTCGGTAGTTTATTGAGCTTCATTAAATCTGTAGGAGAATAGACGTTTGGTCCTCTTAAACATAAATCGAACTACTTTGCGTTCATTGTTTTTTAGGGTCGAAATATATCTTTGGTAATGCGGATTACATACAAGTGACATTATGCATGCATTATAAGCTGATTTTTCAAGTTTTCTTTCAAGGGAATCTGGTCTGTTCTTTTTTTTTCCAGGAAATCTGGTCAGAATGCAGCCCAGTTTTACTAGAAGTGGAGAAATTTGAAGCCCTCCTGCTACGTAGGTGGTATAACCTCCGAATTGATATACCCTTCAGCCCTGTTTTGTTTGCTGCAGACACTCGCAACAACGAGGCTTAGCATCAGCTGTCTGAATTTCCAAAGATTCTCTTCGATTGTTCTCTGATATCGCCAGGTTCTCCGAGCGATCAACTGCCAGGTTGGAAGGAAGCCCAACCTATGT